AGACTGACGTCTTTTCATTGGTCAGCCGGTTAGCGCGGTCGATGCTAATAATAAAAACACACACACCCACAATCTTTTCCCCATTGCTCCCTCTCATCAGGTCGCTTCCGCGGCGAACGACCTGGGCATCAACGACCCGTGCTACCGCTATCAGTGGTGGTCCACCGTGGAGCTTGTCGAGTCCCCCCTCCCGGACGAATTCGGCATGTACAGCAGTAAGGGTCGTCGACCTTGCCTAACCTCGCTTGGAACCTTTGGTTGCTTCTTGCTTGCTTGCTTGCTTGCTTGCTTGCTTGCTTGAAGGAGTCGCCCCACATGGTGTGAACAAAAATAGTGCGGACGGATCCCCCCCGCCCTGAGAAAAATGATTACAACAGGGTCGTACGCGAAGACTGAACGCTGGCCTACCGCTACCCCATGTCCTCGGAAACCCCGGGGAAGATCGGGACTCATCCCCTGCTCCAAGACTACATGAACAAGGTGGTAAAAACGAAAAAAAAATAGTACTAGGAAGCAGGCGGTCACTCGAGGGGAAGCGGACAAGAGCTCCAAAAAGTCCTTGCCGAGACGTTTCCTATCACAATATGTGGCGTTCTGCAGCAGCGGAGGTGGCGGTGCTGCTGTAGCTCGTAGACTTTGTAGTGTACCACAGAGATTACACTGCTGTCACCGCGGTGCTGCTGTAGTAGCTCGTAGACTTTGTAGTCTATCACAGAGGTTACACTGCTGTGAGATCGGTAGGCCCGAGCAAGCTTCGGAAAGAGAGACGTAGATAGATGTTCTTATCAACTGACTTCCTGGTCAGGCTTTGATGGGTGCTGGATGAGAGTGAGCACAAGGGGCGAAGGCGCGCTTGTGTCTCAGCTCAACAGCAGTACAAAAAAACAAGCAGCAAACACAGCAGGTTCCGAGGGTCTCCGGGGTAATGGCCCGAGTACCGGAATTTCGGGGTTCGGAACAATAAAACGACTACAGTCTCGCCTGCCAAATTATCTCCGCTACAACTCTGTGTTCTCTGCGAAGTACCATCTCTTCTTTCTGTATTATGTCTACGAAAGGCTAGCTGCCGCAGTCGTACCTATGGTAAACTGTGCCTGACTACGTTGTAGCTGTTTTCCTCGACACGACCCCTCGATTAGGCAAGTAGCCGATGTTCCAAAACTTCACTTCGCTGCCATTTTTGCGACCCCTCGATTCCCAATCCATATCAAAGAATATCGACTTCCACTTGAGTGAATCTATCCTGTGAGCAATACACGCGTTCAAAACATTCAACCATACAATGTGATCTTGTGCTTAATATCTCCTAGCACTTGTAGTCCTTGATGGGTTGCATGATGGTGGCGATTGCTGCTTCGGGACATGTTTCGTCGCGATGTCCGCCAACATCGTGGCACTAGGTTGGTGGTGAAGAGTGATCCGGTGCCCCTTCGTGAGTTCCCTGAGGAAGAAGAACCGGAGCGCGATGTGCTTGGTTCTAGAGCTGAACATCGCGTTGCTGGCCACAGTCAATGCTCCCGGTGCTGTCGCCGTTGATGGGTACAGATCGAAAGGTCTTGAATCCGATTTCCGTCATGAAGTTGGAGATGTAGACTGCCTCGCGAGCACTGAAGCTCAGCGCTTGAAGTTCGGCCTCCACGGTGTTCTGTGCTGCGAGAGTCTGTGCCTTGGCTCCGTAGCTGATCAGTCCCCCTCCTAGGAAGAACAGGTATCCGGTGGTAGACCTGCCGTTGTCTGGGTTGGCTCCAAATGACGAGTCAGTGAAGCACGAGAGTCTGAACTGCCCCTTCTTGTACACGATCGGCAGGTCTGGCGTTCCGCGTAGGTACCGTAGTAGGTGCTTGGCCGCAGCCATGAGGACCTGTGCTGGGTTCGCGCATGCCCGTGTCAGTTGGTGCACTGCGTATGACAGATCGTAGCGGGTGCATTGGGCAAGGTACAGGAGACTCCCGGTGATGGCCTGGAATCTCTGCTTGTCCTCGGGTCCGAGTAGTTGGTCTTGTGGCTGCTCGGTTGATAGTTCTGCTCCATACCCGGGGGTGCTGACCGGGTTTGCCTGTTCCATTCCGTATCGCTGTAGGATATCTCTCGCGTAGGGTCCTTGCGATATGGCTAGTGTGCCATGTTCGTAGTCCCGCTGCACTTCGATGCCGATTACGCGCTTGACCTCTCCCATGTCTGTCATTTCGAAGCTGTCCATGAGTTCCTTCTTTTTCCTGCTGACGATCTCCTTGTTTCCGCCCGTGATGAGGATGTCATCGACGTAGATCGCGAGGATTGTGAGTTCGTCCCCGCTTACGAAGATGTAGACACAGGGGTCAGAGTGAGTGCGCTGCCAGCCGAAGATGATGAGTCTGTCATTGATGGCGTCGTTCCACAGTGGCGGGGACTGTGACAGGCCGTACAGACTTTTTTCCAGTTTGTAGACCATCATTTCACCTGTCGTAGGGTCCCTCTCCTCGTCGCCTGGCGCCGGCCTGACGTAGACGTCTCTGTCGGTGTACGCGTTCAGGAATGCAGCTACCACGTCCAATTGGTACACCTCCCATCCGTGTTCGCAAGCGATGGCGAATAGCATGCGGATGCTACCCAATCGGGTTACTGGAGCGTAGTTCCTTCCGAAGTGTCGTCCTGCTCGTTGGCGGTGTCCCCCCGCGACTAAGCGGGCCTTGAAGCGGCTGTCGGCCTTGATCTTGAACACGAAGCGTGTGTCGAACATGTCCTCATCGTTCGGTACCAGGCTGATGCGCACTTTCTTAAAGACCTTGTGCTTGGCAAGATTACCCATCTCGGTGTCGATAGCGCTCTTCCACTGCTCGCGTTGTGGTGAGTTCATGGCTTCGGTGTACGTGCTCGGAGTTTTGATCTCTTGGT